AAATTGGGAGGCATAAATTTACCAGACTTCAAACTATACTACAAGGCTACAGTAACTGCAACAGCATTTGACTGGCACAAAAACAAAGACATAGATCAATAGAACAGAACTGAGAGCCCAGATATAAAACCATCCTTATATAGCCATCTAATCTTTGACAAAGCAGACAAACACATACACTAGGGTAAATAATCCTTATTCAATTAGTGGTGCTGGGAAAATTGGATAGCCACATGTAGAAGACTGAAAGAGGATCCATACTTTCACCTCTTACAGATATCAACTCACAGTGGATAACAGACTTAAACCTAAGGCATGAAACTATACAAATTCTAGAAGAAAATGTTGGAAAAACTCTTCCATTGGCCTAGGCAAAGAATTTATTAAGAAGATCCAAAAGGCAATCATATCAACAATACAAAATAAATAAATAAATAAATGGGATCTGATAAAATTAAAAAGCTTCTGCACAGCTAAGGAAACTACCAGGAGAGCAAACAGACTACAATGAGAGAAAATATTCACATGCTACACATCTGATAAAGGGCTTGTAACTAGAATCTATATAGAACTCAGAAAAATCAGCAAGAAAAAAATCAAACAACCCCATTAAAAAGTGGGCAAAGGACATGAACAGAAACTTTTCAAAAAAGACAGACTAATGGCCAATAAACATGAAAAAATGCTCAACATCTCTTATTATCAGGGAAATACAAATCAAAACCACAATGAGATATCAGTTAACTCCAGTGAGAATAGCTTTTATCAAAAAGTCCCAAAACAAGAAATGTTGGCATGGATGCAGAGAGATAGGAGTACTCATACACTGCTCTGGGGACTGCAAACTGGTGCAACCTGTGTGGAAAGCAATATGGAAATACCTCAAAGAGTTACAAGTAAAACTACCATTTGATCCAGCAATCACATTACTGGGCATCTACTCAAAGGAAAAACAAGACATTCTATAAAAAAATCCATGTACACTTGAGTGTTTCTAACAGCCCAATTCACAATTGCAAAGATGTGGAATCAACCCAAATGCCCATCAATTCATGAGTGAATTAATAAAATGTGGTATATGTATACCATGGAGCTCTACTCAGCCACAAAAAACAATGGTGACCTAGCATCTCTTGTATTATCCTGGATAGAGGTGGAGCCCATTCTACCAAGTGAAGTAGCATAAGAATGAAAAAACAAGCACCACATGTACTCACCATCAAATTGGTATTAACTGATCAACATTTATGTGCACATATAATAGTAACATTGATCAGGTGTCAGGCAGATGGGAGTGGGGAGGAGGGGATGGGTATATTTACACCTTATGGGTGCAGTGTGTACTATCTGGGGGATGGACACACTTGAAGCTCTGACTCAGTGGGGCAAACGCAGTATATGCAACCTAAAGGTTTGTAATCCTGTAGCATGCTGAAATTAAAAAAAAAAAAGAAATAATAATAATATAAATAACCCTTACTCTTTGCATGGCATTATGCTATAGGGTACAAAGAAATGTAAGACACATCCTTGTCTTCAATGTACCTATAAGTAGTTTTGAAAATAAAATACAAAGTAAAAATTGATAACACAAAGTGACTCATGGTTCAAGAGTTGTTGCCAAGAAAATTGTTTATTCAACGAATATTTTTTGAGTGCCTACTATGTACTAAGCACTGTGCTGAATACTCAATATCTACAAATTGGATAAACAGAGAGGGTCACTGTCACCTAGGGAGATGAGGCTGGAGAGTTAGGCAGGGATTGGATCATATGAGACCGCAGCATTAGTCTTTATCCTAAGAACAGTGGGAAGCATTGAAAGTCTTTAAACAAGGGATTGACATGAATAAGTGTGTAGTTTTAAAAGATTACTCTAGATGGCATGAGGAATATACTGGAGGAAACCAAATGTATGATGGGAGACAGACAGAAGCCTAGAAGTATTCTGGGCAACAGACAAGATTGTGATGATGGTGATGGTGCAGGAGGAGGAGAAGAAAGAAGAGGATATATAGAGAAAAAGGGCACAGTAGATTTAGGAAGTTTAATCAAAAGAATTTAATTATCAGATACTGGGCCTAAGGGAGAAAAGAAGGATCACATCTACCCTGAATCCTTTTGAAAAGGTGGAAGACCTTGGTTTTTGGCTTATTCAAACTAATGGAAGATAGTGCTATTTACAAAAAAGTAGAGAATACTGGAGGAAGGCTTGGTCTGAGAGGAAAGGTTTTATGGGTTCAGTTATGGACAAATTTATTTGGGGGAGTTTTCAAAACATCTAAGTTGAGATGTCAACTATTCAGTGAGAAATAAAAATCTGGAGATAAGAAAAAAATGTTTAAGCTAAAGTTAAGATTTGAGAATCATCATGAAATGATAGTGTCATAGACCTTGATGAACTTCATTACTGTATATAATGGATAACAAAGTGGTTTTGATTAGGAGTCTCTCATTGTGAATAAGAAGAATCTGGAAAGGTTTCATAGGGAGGGAAGCTGAATCATGAAAAAAGAGGTAGAATATGGTTAACGAGAGATGAGTTAAAATGAATGAAATGACAGGTAAACAATAAAAATATATAAAAAATAGATTGAAATATTCAAGTAGCAGAAATAACAGCCCAAACTAGCTTACCTAAAAAAGGAACCTATAGATTCATATATAACTGAAGAGTTTAGGGTATTCCTCCAGCCATCAAGTCTCTCTATCTAGGACTGAAACAACATGCTCAGAACCCAGTTCCTCTTTTTCTGTTTCTCAGCTCTGTTTCCTGAGTGTTCACTTAATTTAGGGTTATATTCTCCTCTCACAATCCCAAGATGGCTTCCAGTAGTTCTGTAGGCTAGATATTTACATGTTCATGTCCAGAGAGAGAACTAAAGTATTTTTAACATAATAGGGCAGCTAAAGCCCCAGAATGGCGATCCATTGACCTATTAAGGTCAAGTATTTATCCCTATTATTGTAAATAGAAGTTGAGATACACTGATTATCTTAACCTAATTAGGGTGCACCTCTGGAGTGGGCATAAATTCTCCCATCAAACCACCTAGAGTGTTAGAGAAGGGGTTAGAAAATTTAGAAGGGTCAATGTTATAGGGAGACTTATGCCAGGTTAAGAACCTTGCACTTAATCCAATAGACCAAAGGGAGCTCTTGTGTTTTGAACAGGAGAGTGATCCAGTGAAATTAATGTTTTAAAAAGTTAAGTCTTAAGGCAATTTTAGGATATACTGCAGTGTTTAAGAGAAAATAAAAAGAGAAATCTTTTTAAAAGTCTATGGCAATAGTCTAGGAAGAAGATGGCGAGAAAGCCTGAATTGATGTTGATGAAGGAATGTTAACAATTGGATATTTCAAAGAATCCACAGGACTTAGCAAGATAATAAAAATGAACTTGAGATGGAACTTCTGTCTCTTCCACTGAGATTTCAAGGAATGTGATAGCCTTAGCACTGAGGCAAAGATGAGATCCCACCTTTTTCCTTTCATGATGCTGGACTCTCTTCTTCGAAGCCTAGCCCTGAACTAGGTAGGCACTGTATTCCATGCTGTTCCAATTAATTATGATCATCTCCTGTCCCATTTTTTCCCACATGAACAACTCTCCTAGGAGTCAGAAAAAAGGCAAGTTTCAACTGCTGTCAGAAGGAAAGCTGTTTCTGACTCTACAGAGTGAGAATTTCTCTTTATTACAGATTACACTCTAAAAAGTCAAAAGATAGATATCACTACAATCAGTGCAATGGCACTTACTTTTAACAAATTTTTTAGGCATTGTGTCAACCAGCAAGGAATAGGAAACCCCAAATGGTTTAAACAAGTAGAATTCCAGAGAAAGCGGTTAGTGGTGTTGGTTCAGCTGTTCATTAATAACAGGGCCTCTTTTTGTGTTTCTCTGGACCTTCCTTGTGTTTGAGATCATGGTAACAAGATGGCTGCCATACTTCCAAATATCACATCCTCATTTAAGGCAAACAAATGTGTGGAAGAGAGAAGAGAAGTGGCAATCTTTTTATTTATCAATAAAGCAAAATTCTGGCAGGATTTCTTACCTAGCATTCTTCTTACAGCTTATAGGCTGCAATAGGATCACATGACCACTCAGCAGTAAGGAAGACTAGGAAAGGGAACCCTTGATTTTCTATTCCATATTTGTGATACATGGCAAGGAAGAAGATAGTCGGGAATGGTTTTGCAGTTACCAGACAAGATAGTCTCCTGTAAAAACTATTGTTATACAGCGAACTTTGTGCTTGCATGTATTAATGTATTCACTCTTGTCATTTTATATTGGGGGGGGGCTTACATTTATCTGTGCATTTGTTTCCTCTGCTCTTTAGGAGAGTGCTTGCATGGTTCATTACCAATTTTAAAAAAGATATTTTATTCTCTTTTTCTGTTAACCACTACCAACTTCTGCTTAGCTCATTCAGCAAAGATGCTAGAATTTTGGTTTCCCTGAGTAGGCAACATGTATTGACTAAAAAAGATATCATTCCTGTTTATGCCTATCTTGGCAAACTTTGCCCATGTGAAAGGAAATACAGCAAAGCTACTAGATAATTCCGTGTGGAGTTAGTAAAAGTATCCAATTTTTTTTTTTTAATGGAATGTGATAGAGTTTCATGTGAAGAAATACTTCCAAGAAACCTCATCAACCCTAACTTGGAAAGAAATGCAACAGCAAAATGTAGCACCTGCATATCAAAAGTAAATTTAGTAATTATACCATTTGATGCAATGCTTAGAAAAAATAGTCAATTAAAGCAATAGGAATTCAACCAGAACTCTTTGCAGGCAGCATCATCATGCAATTCTGACTTCACAATGACATGAAATTTTAAATGACAACTGTGCTAAATCGGGGAGCAGCAAACCCAGGCCAAGTTTAAATTTAGTAACACTGCTAGTTAACTGAAAATAACCTTCTCCACAGCAGATTCTCTATGAATTACAGGTGATCAACCACTTGTTTGTTTCTCTGTTCTGTTTAGAGATAATCAGTTACTCACCGGCTTCAGTACTGGTGTCTCCTCAACGGCATTTCTGTGTCCACGTCAGGCGTCTCCTTAGCCAGTCTGCAAACCCTTGGAAATTAAAGAGAGACTCCACCACATATATTCTTTGAAAACCTTTCATCATATGTGTCAAACTCTCTGAATGAGCACAAGGATTTGAAGGTAAGTGAATTTGGGGGGTAACTCACATTCTTGTGTAACTCTTAATTATATCAAAAGTCAATGATATGTTTTAATGAAGTATTAAAAAGCAAAAGCAATTATTTAATGTAAGAAAATAGCCGCCTAGACACAGCTTCACAGAACAAAAGGGGACATAAAATACAATATTTAAAAGTGGAAATCTTGACCTTTGGTCATCCATCTCACACCCAAAAGCATGACATACTGTGGTTCTCAAAATTTAATGTGCATAAAAGTCACATGAAGGTGAGGGGAGAATACTTAAAATGTTGATTCCTGGGCATATTTCACAGAAACTTACATTTGCCAGGGCCAGGATGTGGCCCACGAATCTATATTTTTACAGTTACCACCTCCGCATGCTCCTGATGCAGGTGTATCTTGGGCCTTTCAGGAACACTGGATTGGCTTTCAAAGTAATCTACTATTCATTTTCAAACTTTGTATTAAACTTGAGCTTTTATGTTGTTCGTTTCCTTTAGTCACAGGAATAAATAAGGAAGAGGTAATTTTAGCACAGAGGTACTAAATTAGTGCTCCCTTTTTGACTCCCCTAATTTGAATTATTAATTTTCACTAATATTCCTTTTTAGAGTCCAATATGATGGATGTATCCCCGAGTGTCCCTTTCTCTCTTCCAGAGTGACGGCCCCGTCATTGCTCTTGTTAGCTGTTACTCCGTTCTGTGTAATGTCTTAATGTATTTAGATGTTTAGGGTTATTGGATCTAATTATAAGAAATATCTGAAAGATTAAAGTAATGAGTTATTACCAGGATTGGCTAAGTATTTCTACATTTAGAGGATTGTATCTTTTTCTCTTCATTTTGAAAACTCAGTCTTAGATTTAAAAAACAAAAAAAACAAATCTGCTTAATACATCTGTCACTACTCTTTTTTCTTAGCAAATAACTTATAAATCATGTGATATATTTATAACGAGTTGCATGTACATTTAGTGAATATCACTTTATTATATTTCTATTTGCTATACATCATTGAGCAACTTCATTTTTATTATTTGCAATTTTAAGTTTATAAAAGGTTTGCTCTTTTATTTCAGTGAAGGAAGTAATTGGTAAGGATGTATGCAGACTTTAAATTGTGATGATTTTTTTTAAAGTTCAATTTTTTTTTAGAGTGAAGAATGAAGTTTTTAATCAAAATCCTTTGATTGAATTTCAGGCTTATAGACATTTCCATCTCTCTCTTTCTCTTTATCAGTCACATTGTGTAGAATTTCTTGTCCATAAAATATTAAAAAGCAAAAATAAATCCTTCATCAAAAGGAAATATATCCCTATAGTGCCAATTAGCTACATATATCAGCTATTACTATTGTGCATAGAAAATTGAATATGGTAATTTGCATAAAATAAGGCAGCATTTTTTCCAGTAATCAAAATTAAAAATTTACAGAAGTAGATTAACTATAATAATGAAGTTTCATATGCCCTTATTATCAGAATTTTTCTCAATATTAGGATTACCATATCTGAACATAAAATCCTAAAATATGTATATAACACACAAGTTTACTGTTTGGTAAATTCCCTAAATAAAATTTAATAAAGCTTTTATAGCTTTTAGTGCAAATCTTCTATAATATTTTAATTTTGGAAAAACATAGAAACTCTTTCTTTCTCTCTCTCTCTTTCCCCTTCCCCTCTGTCTTCCCCCACTCTATCTATCTATCTATCTATCTATCTATCTATCTATCTATCTATCTATCTATCTATCTACTCCTGGAAAGGAGCAGGTGTAGAGAGAATGGAATTGTGTCCTCAAGTGAGTCACATTCATTATCATTGGTGTATTTATCAGACTGTGTTTTCAAATTGTGGTTCCCCAAAGAAAACTTACAATGTAGCTTCAGGGAACCTGAGCAAGACAGTCTCAATACTTAGGAAGTGAAATATACAACAAAAGAATAAAGTACACAAGCTTTATAGAATCATAGAAGCATAAAGTTTTAGAGCAGAAATAAAGCTGAGATCTTCTAGTCTGGTCCCCTAATGTATAACAGCATTTTCTCTTCCAAACTTGTCATATAAAAGTCTAATACAAAGAGCAGTAAACCAAAATCTGGTCAGGTCTGACTTCTCAACAAAAAGAAACTACTAAGCAAGTGTTTTCAGTAATGATTGTTTTAAGTAAGAAAGGTAGAAGAAAATTTTCCTCCAAGATGAAAATTGAAAAAGTGAAGGAAATATCTAAGAACTTATAAATGTAATTGAATTTAAAAATTATTGATTATGTTACTGGTCAGTGGATAACCTTGCATGTCATTAATCTAGAAATGGAGACAGCAAATTTGGTTTAATTCAGGGTTGTTTAGCTTTGTCTGGAAATCTGATGCAGAGAGAGAAAAGGACCTAAAAGTGACAGCTTTAGAACAGCAGAGCCATCTGGGGCCATCAGTATAGGAGGAAGTAGATTTAAATACGTAAGAAATTCTTGGGAGCATTAGTGTTATTATGAAACAGTATAATAATTAAATCTGTGAGATATAGAAAAATATTTTAAAATGTTTATTATTATCAATTTAAGGAGTTGGGAAATCATTAAAATTTATACAGTAAAAGTGCAATTATTATAGTGGAGAAATATTCATAATATACTGCAAATGAAAGCAAGAAGTTACAAAACCATGTTATGATGGGGTCCCCAATTTATTCTTAAAAAACTATAGATGCATAGGGAGAAAATTAAAATACATAAAAAATATTATTTAATCAAAATAATATTGATAGCTATCCTCAATTTATAAAATTATGGTTAATATTTATTGCTTCTCAAAGTTTGTAAAACTTTTTTTCTAAAGTTTTATATTATTAATATAGTTTAAAAATATTTCTAAAGGGCTGGGAAAATATCTAGTTACCTGAAAATTTCAGTTTTGTAGAATTATAACAAAGTCCTTATAATTGTTGTTTCAAAGAGCCTGAAAGCAAAGGTATTGTGTCTTGTAGTATTAAACTTATTTGACTATGAGAATAGTACTTCCAATTAGATCAAAATAATTTTTAGATATAATTCTTCATTTATAGACTATTATAGCAGGACAAAATTCTCCATGTTTCCTTTTTCAGTAAACACTGGTAATTTCAAATTATGCCAATTAATTCCTTGGAAAAATTCTTTGTATCTTACATCAAATAATTCCAATGTGCTTTCAAGAATTTTCTAACTACAATAGTTTCTTCCACTTGGAGGATAATTTTATATGTTTGGTTACATTAGTGTTAATATGTCTTTGTTCTTTAAATCTCTAGTAGAACATACGGTTAGTCTCACCATTATTACTACCAGCTGCAGTTGGCCTATGATTTTGTTCATTCTGTCTGAATCTGAAGTAATTAGCTCTTTAGTTTAATGACAATATCTGTTAATGGGTTTTTAGGGCCAAATTCTGCTGTTAGAGAGTGGGTGGTGTATTTGAAGATAGAATCTGGCCCTTATGTTTTAAGCATAAGCTGTGTAATTCTATTTCAAAATGATGGCTTAGAGAGTTTAGCATAGGAAAACTAAATCTGCATTTGTCTGAAGTTTCTCATTTTCAAGAAAAAGAAAATAAAAGTGACAATGTATGTAGACAAACAGCAAACCCACTGAAAGTTCTCTGATACAGCCGTCCTGCATGTGTCATCCATACCTGGTATATAGAATGAAATGATAATTATCGAACAGAATTACGTGATGGGGCACACACTGAGTTCTTTAAGTGCAATGAAACACTTTTGATCACTGTATTTCTGAAGGACTTGGTGCAGCAGAAAGAGTCCTTGCCTGGGAGTTACTGGGGTTCAAAGCCTGACTCAGCTTCCTAGTAGTGGCCTGTCCTTAAGGAAATTACCTTTTCCTGCACCTCAGTTTCTTCACCCTAAAAGGAGGCCTTTGCTTCAGATGATTGAAGTGGTCCCTTTCAGCCCTAAGATAATAATTCTAACTTACTTTAAAAGAGCACTATGAGGAATACACAAGGACCATAAGGAAGGTGCAATGACTTGAGCTAACTGAATAAACAAAATATTAAGTCTACTAAAAGGTATTTTAAGGACATTTTGACATTAAGAACTTTCCTTCAATGCTTAATTACTTTTATCCTGCAGAAGAGAAATATTTGAAGGATTTTATGTAGAAGAGTCTATATGTTACTCTCTTAGAAGTTTTTAAGGAGATGAATTTTGGCAAAACTTGAAAAACTAGTAACAGCTAAGATATCCAACAATGAATAGGATGCCACTTTAGATAATGAATTCACCATCATTATGGGAAAGAACATGGGTATCACAGGTTTTATAAACTGACAAACTGTTCTTCAAGGTGTAAAGGCTAGAGGCAAATATTCTTGACATACAGAAGCTCAGGAAATATTGTTATCTTGAGCTCTTTGTGAAGCAACTATTAGAGGATAAGCTCTATCCAACCAAGAAGTGACTATAGAATCTACTGCAAAAACAAACAAACAAACAAACAAACAAAAAACCCCAAAACTAACTGTGAGCATTGAATGTATTTAACTGTAGACCTAAATCTAAAATAAATAGGGTGACAGAATAGAACATAAAAATATAATGTCTTGACAATGTAGAACTAAAACAACTGACAAAAATTAGAAAGATACAGCAGAAAGTTGGTGCATATAAGTTAACTGATTGCTTTATTCTTAATATATAGTAATCAGTGGATATCATTTAAACTGACAGTCAAAACTATAGAAGTATAAGCAGATTTAAGAACACACACAAAAAAGATTCTAAGGAAGATATTGTTATTGCCCAACATTAGCTACCAAAAAATGGGAGGAGAGAAAGAAAAATATATACTGCTTTTTCTATCACTCATAATAGGGAAATAGTAACTATCCTAAAGATATATTTAAAAAATTAAGGTTATGAAGTTATAAACATTATACTATAGCTTATTATATAAACTTATAAATATTATAAATTAGAAGAAAGTCTGTATTTTTGGAAG